CTAACTACTGAATGCTGGCCACTTCGTGTGCTCAGCTATGATGCTTGCTGCTGCTGTACATAAATAGCTCCAACTTAAATCCACGTCATTATTATCACTGTTGTTCTTATGTAAGAGTTATGTAGAACTCAGAGATATTGTTAAATGACTCAGTGTCATATATGCAGGGACTGGGAGAGATGGATTTGGATATATACATAGCTCCTGGCTTTGAGGGGACACTGATATTTGGCTAGAGGCACCTAGAAGACATATGAGCATGGGCTTAGAGGGGATACATATTTGAAAATCACCAGCATGATTGGCTTCCCCTACACTGATTTCCTTTTCCTTCTCATGTAACTTCCCACAACCTAAAGTCTTTCCTGGTGTTATTACTCACATTAGTATGTTGCTCTGGAATCCTTGTGCCAGGGTCTACTTCTGAGAGAGCCCAACAAGGAGGAAAACCGAAAATGAGAAACACAGAGCAGCAAAGAACTTTTGAACCAGTTGGCTGTGAAAAAGACCAAAATAGGACCGATAGCCTCCAAAACAATACAGAGAAACCCTGTCTCGTAAAACCAAAAAAAAAAAAAAAAGACCAAAATAAATTGAGAAGAAATCACAGGAAACCTGAGGCTGCTTTTGAAGAAGAGAAATTATTAGAAAGGAAAAGACTGAAGAGCTCCTGATGAAGACTTGTGCCAAAAGAGGTCAACGAACCTGATGCAGAGATGCAAATGACTGCAGTCATGTGAGACTGCTTTAAAAGTTTTAAGAAATGGCTCAATAGATAAGCCTGATGACCTCAGTTTGATCCCAGAACCTGGTAAAAACTGATTCAGTGGTTCCCATCTGTACACCCAGCACGCCTGTGGTAGTTTGTGGACTAGGTCATTGTTTCCTTAACAATGACAACTAATGATTGAATGCTGGCAGTGTCACATGCTCAGCAATGCTGTCACTTAACACAAACATCTCCAGGAGACAAAAGAATCAACTGAAGGCTAGAGGGACAGCTAGTCTGGAGTAAGCAGCCCAGAAACAAGAAAAGTGCCTCAGCAAGGTGGAAGGTGAGGCTCTTTTAGCTCGCAAAAGCTGAACTCTGACCTTTACATGCCACCATAAGATGTACTTTTCCCCCGACCAACCCAAGTGTACTTAGGGAATGTAGTAGCAGGTAATTGTGTGGGCATCCCAGATTAGCCTCAACACTTCTAGGTCCCACTGACCTGGCCACAGTCCACCCAGTTAAGACTTCTGCCCCGTGAATGGTCTCCTTGTTGTCTTCTGAAATCCTCGGCTCTTGACCAATTCTTGACCTTCAACTCTGACCTTGAGCCTTCCTTAAATATATTTTGTCTTCTTTTTGCAATAAAATTACAGGTTGCAGAATCACCAAGTTGAATTTTTAAAGCTAGAAATGCTTTTGCATACAAACACATGGAGTCTAAGAGATGGCCTCGTGGTTATAAGAGAAGGTCTCATGGTGTCAGAGGAATATCACCTAAAAAGAAAGACACACAAGCAGAGGAAGCAATGTGCAAAAAGAATGTGCAGACTTCACCCTTTGGAATAAAAACCAGTATGCAGTTTGGATACTTTTCTCAATTCTTACTTGGTATTTCCCCTTCCATAGTGTCTTGTTTGGTTTCCTGTCAGTCATAGAGTGTGTGATCTACCACTACCTGACTTTTGTCACCAGGTCTGCTGCTGCCACTGTTATTCAAGCTGCTATGTTCAGGTGAAGAATGTGGCATATGTAACCGATGGCTCTTCCCTGTCCCACAAGGAATCAAGTCAGCAGCCAGCTCCACCCCAAGAGACAGGAGCAGCAAGAAATCAGGCAGGTCAATTAATGACCACCTCTCCCTATGGCTGAGAAAACCATTAATCATAGAGCTACTGTGCAATCACTGGTCTTTTAATGATGATCTTAATTTGCATACTATTCAAATGGTCTCAAGAACACTGCTTGGGATAGATCTTGTGAGCCATGTCCAGGCAGGATATTTCAAGGTCAATTGCTCTTTAATACTCTTCATCTGAAAAGTCACTCTTTCATTTTGACAGCTTCATTTCATAAACGCTCTTACTGGGTTAGGTAAGTGAATCCTAGCCAAGCATTTGTACTTTCAATAAAAGGAAAAATCAAAAAGAAAAGGAAAAACTTGCTTTTAAGACTATAATAAATCCAAAATGGTCTTTAGAACTATAAAGAAATTAATTAATAATTAACGTGTGTGTGTGTGTGTGTGTGTGTGTGTGTGTGTGTGTGTGTGTGTGTGTGTGTAGACCAGAGGACAACCTTGAGGGTCATTGTACAGGTCTGTCCACTTTGGTTTTTAGACATGGTCTCTTGTTGGCCTGGGATTTGCCAGTGAGCCAACGGTTTGCCTGTCTCAAGTTACCCAAAGTAACAAGTGTATACCACTACTCCTGGGATTTTTTTCATGTAGTTCCTGGGGGATTGAACCCAGGTCCTCATTTTTACACTTTACAGACTGAGTCATCTTCCTGGCTTAGACTGGATCTTAAACTCCCCTAAGTGATCTGCAAATAAAATTAGAACCCAGGGATATTAACTGACTGTCAGAGGTTAAGGGAGCAATTGCTCACAGAGAGAAGAAGTCTGGTATTTTTCCCACAAACTCCTAATGAAATAGGATACATTAAGAGACTTCATAGTACATCCAAAAATTCAGGTTTCTCCAGAATCAGTTCAACTCTCCACAGCTCCCAAGTCAGACAGACTGTCTTGCAGCCTCCCTCCCTGCCATCCAAAGTTGTGTCTTCTCTAATGAATTTTCTTTAATTTGAAAAGCAAAGTCTATTTACTTGCTCTTCATTTAAGTATTAATAGTTGTCTTAAGGGGAAGTGGCCAAAAATTGCAGTCACAAAAAAAAGAAAGAAAAGCCCAGCTCAGAAACACTCGAATGGTATCTAAAGAAGCAGTTAAATCCCCAAGATTCCAGTGCATGGTACATAAGGGAAAAAAACTGTCTGATTTGGCAAAAGTGTCAAGGCTTCTGAGAGTGTCACAGCTTTAAGACAACCTCACACTGACCTTCGGGTCCTCCTCATGATGAAATGTTCAGTTATTGTTACTGGCTGGCTGACTTTTGCTGTTGTTTTGTCTCTTCATGGTCTTGTGCATGCTAGGTAAACTGTCACTAAACTCAGTTCCACTCATTCTCGCCTTTTGTAACTCAAGACACAGTTTAATATGATTCTTGTTTAAAGTCACACACTGAGCAGTGGCCTAGCCTGAGTGTTTCCCCAGACTCTGGCTCTCCTGGCTATCCTCTTAAGTTTCTTCTAGGTGGCTCAATGATTCTTCACAGAACCACTGTGAGATGGTTGCCATGTGACCTTGTTACATACTGCCTGGTTGCCAAGTGCTTGAGCACTCAGCATTCAACCCCTGGACTGTGGTTCTGTCCCTGAGAAAACTGGTAAGAAATATGTTGTCTGTCATCAAAGTCCTCTGGGCTCCTGTGACCCGTCTGACTGGTGCCATTCCTGCTGTCCCACACTGGGCCACCATTAGGGAATAACACAGTCCTATCAGGATGATGTCCTTACTTTACACATTGAGGGCTAATCTCTGTGAGAATGTGGCCACTTAGAATAGATTGAGGGTGGAATCAAGCACTTTAAAAATAGCCACTCTAAGACAAGAAGAGATGAGTGTAGAAACAAAACATGGATGTAACAAATTGAAGGACCAATCTGGGGACTCTGGGTGCCAAGACCAGAGAGCTGAGGCAAGGGTCTTCCACTTCAGAGGTGACACATGCTTATGCCCAGGAACAGGCCCCTGCCACACCCAGTTCATCACAGTCAAGTTTTCACACTCTGCTTTCACTGTCCATTCCAGGCATACACAAGAGGGAAGGATACCCCAGACCATATTTAACATGGGTTAACTATTGCTGGAAATTTCTTCTACTCCCTCTAGAGGTCATGTATTCCAGTAAGAGCCCCTTGGAACTCTTTGCAATGGCCTCCCTAACCCTGGCAAGCCCAATTGAACAACACACTGTGTGGTGATCTCACTCCACGTGTAAAATGAGTCTGCGCTCTACCCATGCCATCATATCCCCCGTGCTAACTTACTGTGCTCTGCTGTCAACCTCCCAATTACTTACTGAATTCCTGTTACATTCACAACATTACAGTGGGCACTCTGGGGTGAGCTGATGTAGAAACCTACTTCTATTCTATTCTCATTTCTATTCTTCTACAATAAAAATAGAAAATGAATGTGAATGGGAAGACTTCAGCAAGCGCTGCACACGGAGACAGGAAGTAACCATAGCACCAGCAATAGAAGCAACAAGAGGGAGGGCAAGGTGGTGTATGCTCTTGTCAAGCTTCTCCACAATACTTGACAGTTAGCAATTCTAACCATATCCAGTCACTCACATCCTCACTTCTGTTAGGTCAAAGTTGGGTTGATGGTGTTGGAATTCAGGAAGAACATATGACTGAAGATGTTAGGAGATATCTTGCCCAGAAAACCCAAGGGAGGGCTTGAACCCAAGCTTCAGGCCTTGAGATACCTCCTCAGGTTTTACTTAATGGGAGAATGTGAAGCTGTAGCCTCCGTGGAAGGAACAGGGACATGTCAACAACATGAAGGGCAACAGGTGGGGTGGGATGCCATGGAGACCAAGAGATACATTTGACACCATTGGCAGGGATAATGGGACTCTGAGATTCCAAGTTAATAAGAGCCTGTTTCATCTGACTACATTGTAAGCCTTACTCTGCATTTCTGGGTTTTAGGATTGATTTGTGATAGGTGTGGAAGGAGGGTTGTTTTTATTTTAAATGGATCTCTTTTTCAAGTTTCACACCTGCTTGCCCCCTGTGTTTCAAATCACCTTTATCTCACTAGACACTTTGATTAATTTCTAGAGAAGAAACGGTCTTATTTTGTTCTCTTAAAATTTTCTTAAACTTTATGCAGTATACTGGTAAACTTTGCTTATCCATATGACACCAATGGGCATGCCAGGAGGAAATTCATTTGGAATATTTTTCAGTTGCAGCACTAACTGGTAATAACTCATTTGTGTTCTCCCAACTAGTTCCTTGATCAAACTTATCCATTTATTGTAATGATTTTTCAAAATCTGTTGATTAACCTAAGTTTAATATGATAAAATATGTACTGTACCAATTATTCTAAATTATCAAGATCACTTACCCTGCCAATGATGAAATCATTAGGCTTTAAAAAATTCTGGGAGTCTGTCTTTAGTTTAACCTAAGTATGGGGATTTGCAAAATCTATATTCTGCCTTCAAATTATCCAGAGTAAACTTGGGGTTGACATTTAAGTCTGTGCCAGGCACACAGCTCCCCCCCATGCTCTTTGCTTTCAGAAAAGAAGTTACATGATACAACAGAGTGTTCTTGAATAATATCTCCCGAATACCACATTAGGTGCAAACAAGAGTCTAAGTACCAATAATTCATGAAGAACCTCTGTGAATTATGGGTTCATCTCAAACTGAAAATAGATCTACAAATCATTTAACAGTAGATATTTTCTCCTACAGCATGCAAAAATGTATTATCTGTCATTTTCAGGATCTGTTATTTTCCATAGAGGTCACAGTAACTGGACATGTGTGGTATGGCTTACCAGGAGATGCCCACACAAGGATCGCTGCAGACTTTGTGCTTGCATCCTGGCCATTGCCTCCCTTTTAATTCTATCATTTTAGTTTCTTAGCAGAAAGAACAAACTGCTGGTTTGGGGTTAAATAAACATGACACAGCCGTTGAAATGGATTCGAGTCGTGCCTCTGAGAAATGAGAATTTCAGAGAAGCCTTTATTCTCATGAAACTGGTTTTTCTCATAGCCTTTACAAATTAACAGTGATGGAGAGAGTGTGTGAGAGAAAGAGAAAGACAGTGGGAGACAGAGAGACAGGGAGACAGACACACAGAGAGGTAGAGACACACAAAGGCATTGAGACACAGACAACACACATGGAGGGAGGGAGAGGGGGCAATTGCCTTTTATATCACAGGCTTCACAATGCACTCTCAAGAAGAATTGTTTATTATGCTTATCTGACACCATATGCTTATTCATTAATTATATTTATACTCAATCCTTAAAAAGGAGACAATGGGCTAAGGACATGGTTCAGTCATGCCTTGCAGGTATGAGGAGCTGAGTTCAGATCCCCAGAACCCACATCTAAAGGTGGTGCATTGGATCCCTGGAAGTCCCTTGCTTGCCAGACTTCTTACTGAGGTTCCTGATCAGTGAAAGACCCTGTCTCAGACGAAGCGTTGAAGGATCCTGAGGACCAATACCTGAGGTTAGCCTGTACCCATCCATGCATAGCATGCTCTGTGAGCCTGTGCCCATATACGCGTGAATGCACCTCCCCAACACACACAGAGACTAAGCCTAGCATTGTTGTGTGTACTTAAACAGGGAAACTGAGGCTCAGAGAGTTAAGGATCATTTGCATGAGGTGCTGGGATGGAGCCAGTGTTTACACATTGGTCTGGATTCATGGATAGTGTGCTTCACACTGTGTGACTGCTAAATAATAACAGAAGGGTGGTTTACAGGGCACAAGTGATCTTTGTGCCAAAAGAGAAGCCTGGTTTTCTAGTGGCTACTCACTGAGAGCAAGGCCTGCGCTTTGGCAAGGCTGGCTGGGTGTGGCTCCTGTATAAGGCTTCTGCCACTGAGGTACAGGTGGTAGTATTTAAGTGCATGTGAAACCCACCCGCTCTGCACGCTGTGCAGAAATTTGAGCAAGTTCACGTACATGTACTGATCATTTCACCTAACTCAGGGCTTCCAACCACCAACTTCAAGGTCCATTCTGAGATGAGCAAACCATACCGCAAACCTTGCTGGCAGTCTGATTCTACTGGGTCAGCTTTTTCTTGAAGGCATGGGTGCTTTCTTGTCCTGTTTCCGTCAGCTAGTGGACATACACAGTTGAGAGGAGTCTACTGCAGCTGGCTCAGTCATGCAGCCATATTCACTGTCTAGCCCTGTCTCAGCTGAGGCATCTTGACATTTACTGGCAGTAAATAACAGTGGATGAAGGATATGATATGGAGGACCACGTACTGCTCTTAAAATTTACACAAGATTCACAAGGTTTACTGTAGAGACTGTGCCAAGATTTAAAGGTGTTGTGCAAAAAGCAACGTCCTGAGCACCTCAGGGGCAAATATTGGCCTTTTACAAGCTTATAATGAGTGACATGGCAGAGAGAATGACCCTCCTCTTCCTCCAAGATCCCAAGTCTGCTTACTTTCCATTGATTCATTCACAAGCATAGGAGGCTTCATAGTCATTGTCATTCCCAGCCCTGGTCATTTAATTTTTAATACATAATAAATGTAGGATACATAGTTCTTCTGATGCAATTTTATTGTATTTTCACTGTTTTCTACCATTTAAAATATAACATTTAAAATTTCATACATAATGTAGGATACATAGTTCTTTTGATGCAATTTTATTGTATTTTCACTGTTTTCTACCATTTAAAATATAACATTTAAAATTTCATACATAATATATGTGACTTTTAGGAAATGATTGCATAAGTAGGATATTAAGAACGTAACCCTTAGGTCTCTCCTTTTTTTTTTTTTTTTTTTTTTTTTTTAATCATTTTTTATTTTAATTTTAAATAGCTTGTTTCACATGTCAATCCCAGTTCCCTCTCCCTCCCCTCCTCCCGCACTCCCCTTCCACCCTCCCTCCCACCCTATTGCCAAATCCCTCCACATAGGGGATGTCTAGAGTCTATCATTTCACTCTTGGTAGGGTCAAGGCACTCCCCTAAGAGTCCAGGCTGAGAGAGCATCTCTCTTTGTGCCATAGGCACATGAAGACAGATTGTATACCAGGGATAGACACTGATCCACAGCTCAGAGCCCCATAGGTTGCCCAGGCCTTCTCACTGACACTCACATTTGGGGGGTCCAGATCAGTCCCATTCTGGCCTCCCCACTGTCGGTCTGGGGTCCAAGAGCACTCCCCTGTTCAGATCAGCCGTCTCTGCTTTATACTTTTTATTTTCAACCATTTCATACCTGTATACAATGTATTGTGGCCTCTACCATCTCTTATCTCCACCCCATTTCTTCTGGCCATTTTGTGTGTAAACTCACGCAGGTGGCCACTACATGTTCTCTAGTCTGCATCCCATCCCCTGGCTCTTTCTTGATATTCCCTGGACCTTGGAGATGGTAGTATAGATAACCTGTTAGGGATGAGACTTCAACAATCTCGTTTTCTTAGCACTTTGACATGCTATGAGTCTCTGCATTAACCACTACCACTCAAAACAGAAGGTTCTCAGACAAAGCCTGAGAACAGCGCTGTGGCTGGTAAAGTCTGTTGCTATGAATGCAAATACTTAGCAGGCTGTTTGACAACATGTCCATTCATCAAAACATCAGTAGTGGAGGAAAGGTGGACTTATTTTTTCTCATTAGCAGCGTTTTAATTTTCTCAAATTTACCAACTTGCTAAAGTAGAGAAAGCTGGAATTCTATAAAGACATTTTAATAATCTCTTAACTTGAAATGACTTCAGACTCTGGCTTATAAAAGGCCTTTGGGATGAGAGTCACACTGATGGTGATGGTGCCCTGGCAAGTGTGTAACCGTGATCTGCATCTATTACTAGTCAGTTGTAGAAACATCTGGGAAAACAGGCGTCCTTCTCTTTACTTCAGAGTCATGGTGGGAAGTAGCTACCCAGCTGGTGGTTGACAACTCTACCAGCCCTTCATACGTAGATTAGGGCACACGAAAAGACTGGGAAAAATCAGAAGTGTGGTGATTCATTCAAGGCAAGGACGCCAAGGGGAAGTGTATCTTCTGCACCAACAGGACATGGACCTTCACAGTGATGAGCTGGAGTTCTTGAGTGATGGGGTAGAAAAGACTGCTGCCAGCCAGACCACACACAGCACAAGACAACAGAGAATTAATCTGCAGAAATGTTGGGATCTGTTCGTTACATAACTAGATTCTCATATGGAAAAAATGAACTTCAAATTGGAGAAACTAGTCCAGAACCATTTCTGGGACCCCTGGTTGCAGTGGTCAGAAAACTCGAGCAAGGGGAATATATATATATATATATATATATATATGCATATATATATATATATATATTCTGTATCCTTCATCCACTGTTATTTGCTGTCATTAAATGTCAAGATGTCACAGCTGATGCAGGGCTAGACAGTGAATATGGCTGCATGACTGAACTAACTGAAGTAGACTCCTCTCAACTGTGTATGTCCACCAGCTGACTGAAACAGAACAAGGAAGCACCCATGCCTTCAAGAAAAAGCTGACCCAATAGAATCAGACTGCCAGCAAGGTTTGCGGTATGGTTTGCTCATAGATATATGACCTTCAGGAATGGGCATGAGATTGGCAGAAAACTGCCAAGCCACAAAGCATCTACTAGATCTGCGAAGGAACAGAAAAGGTAATTTGAATTAAAAAAAACATGTGCACATTGATGAGTAAGTTGATTATACTTAGAGCTTAACTGTTCACAAAACATAATAATGAACTTAGTGTGGAGTTGGTCATTATGGTTTGTTGCCAAAGGTGTTCGATATATGTTAGGAAACTGAGGCAGGAGGATTGTTATCAGTTTGAGGGAATTAATACAGGGGCAGTCAGTGATATACAGCAAGATTTCATCTGAAATAAATAGTAAGTAAATAAATAAATTTTAGAAGTAATGTAGGTTTGGGGGTTTTCATATATTCTAATTTTAAGAATAAAAAATAAAATTCTCCTTGTGGGTTTTTTGGGGGGTCTGGCCTTATTTTAATGATGTCCTATAAGGTAAAAATAGTTTGCTCTGGGAGTGTATGCTGCTCCATGCTATTGTGGTAGCTAAGTAGGATGACTTAGTTTTTTCTAGATGGGGGAAAGGTAATTCACTCTTAGATTCCTTACAATTATTATAATTGTATTCCTCTTTATTGTATTGCATTGCATTTATTGTTACTCTGTGTGTATGTAAGATGTAGGAACAGATGCCATGGCTCTCATGTGTCTTAGTTAGCGTTTCTATTGCTACGACGAAATACCATGACCAAAAAGCAAGTTAAAGAAGAAAGGGTTTATTATGCTTACACTTCAGCATTGCTGTTCATCACTGAAGGAAGTCAGGACAGAAATTCAAGCAGAGTAGGATCGTAGATGCAGGATTTGATGCAGAGGCCATGGAGGAGTGCTAGTTACTGGCTTGCTTCCTATGGCTTGCTCAACCCACCTTCTTATAGAACCCAGGACCAGCATCCCAGGGATGACACGACCCTGCATGGGTTGTGCCCTCCTTCATTGATCATTAAATGAAAAAATGCCTCACAGCTGGATCTCAAAGAAGCATCTTCTCAACTGAGGCTTCTTCCTCTGATGACTCTAGCTTGTGTCAAGTTGACACACAAAACCATGCAGTACATCATGTAAAGGTCAGAGGGCAACGTTGTGCAGCAGGTTCTCTTCTGTCTTTTACATGAGTTATGGGTGTTGAACTCACACCTTCAAGCTTTGTGGAAGATGCTTTACCTGCTGAACCATCTTATGAGCCCTGTGAGTGCATATCTCTTGCTAGGAGAAGTCAGGCTCTCTTGTGATGCTCTATTACAAAATCCCTTCCTTGATGCCACATCAAAGAGGCATTGATGTCCATAGGACAGATGCCCCCATCTATGTGTGATATCAATGCTAGTTTTCTCAAGAAATTTTCTTTGTAATAAATTTATTTATGATGGAACCATCATTTCTTTCTGACTGACCCAATACAGTCTTAACTAATTTGGTAAAAAATACATTAAAAAATTATGGCTACAAGTTTTACTAACAAAATGACTTCTCTCTGATTTTTGCTCAAGGTTAAAACTGTCTCTTATTTTTCTTTCCTTATACTTACATCAATTCTCTCAGATCTAACACATGTAGATCAGAGTGCCAAATGTCAGTAAGTTATAGGAAGTTGCTGGCATTTCACTGCTAAAAATTATACATTATTTTTTACTTCTTCTGTGGCACATCATTGACATGAGTCCTGTTGAGGATTCTAACATCAAAATCTAGGACAACACAGTCAGCAGGTAGAATAGCAGCTAAAGCATATCTACTTTGTGTTCGATGGTGTTTATTGTTTTATAGTCAACAGGATTCATCAACATTCATAGATCACCATGTTCTCTTTAATTTTAGTTCCCTGCCTGCTAATTCACTCAGTAACTGTGAGAGATGTGCTCTATAGTATCTATGGTTTTTGTAACAGAGGTCAGTATGCAATAGAGTCCAAAAGATACATTTAGTGATTTTCATTTGTTTATGAAGCAGAACAGAGGAGGAATAGAAATCTCATTTTGTTGTTGAATTGGTTTGAAGATTATAAATTTTTCTAACTAGCCCAAGTTGACTCATATTTCTTGAGGATGATGAATTCTGTTGGAAGTTATGCCCATTCCCTTCAAGGATTTCAGATAGGAGCATCCACATGGAAGAATTTGACTCCTTTCACCCTCTGCTGAATCCTCTCTGGGCAGTATTGATGCCCTTGCTGCTCTGACTTCTGTCTCTTCAAGTATGGCTAGAATTATATAAGACTATGACTATGCCAACCAGACCACCGCCCAGGGCACCAGCAGCCTTGTTGAAGGGTTGTGGCAATGACAGAACAAATTAGGAACAGGTGCTGGTAAAACCTATAGTCTGTTCTGCCAAGAGGAAGTGAAAACAGCTCTCATCAGTGGTACGTCTTTCCTTTGGAATGTTCTGCAGAACCTGAACTCAACAATTAGAGTAGAAATTTCTAAAATAGAAGGTTTGACACATGACTATTTAAAGAGAACATATGACATGCTCACCCAAATGTTAAATCTTTTTATATAGTTTACAGAATTTTTTTTGTTTCAGAAAATAAATTAAGTAAATGAAAGAAGTAAAAAGTGGAAGGAGGAAATTCAAAGACTATAGAAAAAGAAGAAATGTTTTTTGTCTCAATTTTCTTGTTTAGATGATTAAGTTCGTTTAAGTCAGTAGAACCGCCCTTTCCATGTTTAATTTTTTACTAATAGCAAATCAGTTTCTTGTTCTCTCTCTAAGCTGGTGTTGAACACGTGAATGATGTTACCTGGAATGGGACAACATAGTAGTATATCTTAGTCTAGTTCTAAATTGTTTCTGGCCATTGACACTCCATTTTTAAAGGTGTGAGGGTCAGCCTTCATTATTAATGTGTTTGGATTGAGAATCCCCTGGGAGATTGGTGAAGTATAACTCTGCACATGTTTGTGAAGAATGACTGTGAGTGGCACCATCCCATGGACTGGTTATAGGGATATAGAATGGAAGAGGTAATAACACATGACCAGTGAGTACTTACCACTGCCTCCTGTATCATGAAGAAACTCTCCTGTCACATGGCCCAGCAGCCATGGCTATGTACCTAAGTATATGCAGCCAAGCAGCCATGAAACAAATCCTTTTAAACCATGAATAAAAATAATTCCTTATCTTAAATTTTCTTATTGAGCATTTTTTCAGTGACTGACACAATGGGCTTTATGCCATGCCAACCTTAGTGTTTAGCATCAGATGCTCAATTGCACCTCATTGAGGCTGTTACAATAAAGAGCTGATTTCTAGTTAGGATGACAGATAGGCTCAAAGATAATGATGTCTAGTGGACACAGGGCCATGCACAGCTGGTATCAGTGACCTGTAGAATTGGAGATATCCAACACGAGATGCTGAAAGTGCCTTCTGACAGACTTACAGGCAGAAAAACCCCAAATAACACATAGGTATTGTCAACTGGCTGCAAATTAGAAACGTTTGATTAAACAGTTACTTCATATTTTTTAAAATGCTAGTGAATGTGGAGTCAGCCATCTTCACACTGGCTCAACTCCTCAGCAGTGACATCACAAGTGCAGAGTATTCAGTCTTCTTGTAGTGGTGCAATGTTGGATTTTTGTCTTCATGCCCATAGCTCATACTGAGATATCCCAAGGCTCTTCAGATTATGAGTTCATGACTAAGCCAAGATAATGAGAGGCCATCAAAAAGTGTATCTCTGTTTCATTAAGAGCGGATGTTTTCTCATAACCTCCCTAGATCACATGGGTACTTAGTTGCTCTGGTCGCAGCAACCTCATCTCTGCCTCTAGCTTTTAAAGAGCAAAGACATCTGGAAGAAGTTTGCTTTGAGTGCCTTAGAATAACCAACTACCCATCCTCAAGATTCTGCTAGTGAGTATAAGAGAAAATTCAGAGCCTCTAGGTATGTAAAAGGACCTGCTGGTGCCAAGTGCCATGGTGTGGGGGGTCCCTGCAAATACTAAGTCCAGGAGATTAATGATCTGTATGAGGCAAGAAGGAATCTGGTACAACATGGCTTAGATATCCAGTGCTGGTTCACACTTCTAGGGTCTGACACTAGGCAGTTTATGTCTTAGGCATTTAAGTACAGAAGAATTTTGGAAAAAAAAGTTTTCTAGTAACAAATATCTCAACCCCAAATGTATAATAAGGCATAGGGAAGCTTAAGGGCCTACGGGAATATTAGGTGTGACCATACATGTAAGTTGAAAAGTTATAAAGTACACGTGACATCTCCCCTTGTGTGTTGGGGGAGAGGGGAGATAACACACACCATTAATCCCAGTACTTAGGAGGCAGAGGCAGATGGTTCTCTGAGTTCAAAGGCTGCCTGGTCTACAGAGCTAGTTCCAGGACAAACAGAGATGTTACACAAACAAACCCTGTCTCAGAAAATAAAGAATGGGAGGGAGGGAAGGAAAGAGGGAAAGAGGGAGAGAGGGAGAGAGCTCAAGATAAAGATCTAGGTGGGAGGGTCTGCGATAAATATTTTGGGGTAATCAGGACAGGCCTGGTCCTACAGATAGGAAAGGTCACCAAGTCATTAACTACATCTACTCCAAGCCTTCTGGGTGAAAGAACAGATATACATGTCTCCATGCTGAAGAGATAGGCGTCCATGCTTAACATTGCTGGATTCCCTAGTGCTTATCTGTGAGCACGAAGACCTCATACTCTATACACCATGAGGATAGGAAGTAAGTAGCAACAATACCGAAAGTAAGCAGTAGTTGTCACCTTAAAGTTTAGACCTGCCTCTGCATACCTGCTTATGGAAATATCTCAATTATGAACAGTAAAATACTTTTGGAAGGTAGGTGATTACATAATCCTTCAACGAAAGTTTGTACAAAGTTCTTGACTGTATTAGTGCTGTGCGGCATTTTAACTTGTGCTGTCAGAGACATGCGGGACTATACATGATGCAATTCAAGAGAGGATGCTGCTGTGACTACAACAGAGAAGCAACATTTTCCTCCTCCCTCCACAGCTACTCCTGAAAATTTTCAGGTGTCATTTGCCTTTCAACTCTGGATCCAAACACTTCTGGTCATTTTAGGATATTAAGTCTGACACTCACTTTGAAGTCACAGGCTATTCTGACATCATTTATAAATTTGGAATAGGAAATGCTAAATTTAGAAGCTAAGAAATGAGGCCGACACTACCTATAAATATCTCTCAAAGATTACAATTAATAACAAAAAGAATAGATATTTGTGAATGTTTTTCTCTAGGGTAGGAAGCCTAATTAGTAGAATTATTTATCAAAATGGATGTTCTAAACTATCAGCTTTGGATCATGAACTGAACTGACTGACCAGCAGGTCTGAGCTTAGCTTTTCTCCCACTGCCTCAGTTTCTTATAGCTCTGGTATGTTTTATCTCATGCCACAGAATGCAGAAGTACTGTTCCCTAGAAACTTAAGGTCTGAGTCTTCCCATAAGGTTTATCTTCATTAGTCCTTTGCCCACTTCTGCCTTCCTTGTGTTTTGAGCTCATTTTATTCTCTTTCAAATAGAACCTTCCATGCATCCAGACAAGGTGGCTTTTCGCAGCACTAGTTCCATGGCAGCCTTGTAGCTCTTGGTCTAAGAAGAGGAGAATTCTGCTCTCATGGAGGAAAAGGCTCCATGGCCCTGTTTGGATTAGCTCAGAATCCATCACTGACCTACGGATGAGTGGGGTAGAGTCTTCTTGTTGAGTTAATCTGGGTGAAAAGGATTGGGATGGAGCCCACCTAACCTGTTAGTGATAGGTAAAAATGCATTTTTGTTCTATTTCACCATGACAATATTTTAGGTGCCCACCTGCCAATAAGTAGAACTAGCTATTCTGCTGTCCACAAAAGTCATTAGCAGTATAACATTTGCCTCAAGGTTCCAACTACAGCAAAAGTCCACAGCTGGAGGATACTGACTATGTGAGGAAGTGACAAAGCTATGTTTGGACACTGGAAATTATTGGAAACTCGGTGAAAATAAAGAGAGTGCAATGAGGCATGTGTCAGCCAGTAAACTAAGCATTTAGACAGCTCATGGATGTGTCTTATACCTGATTAAAGAGCACAAAGGACATTGGTACTTGGATACTAATGTAGAGAACATATTTAACTGCATCCAGAAAGAATGACAGGGCAGCACTTTTGAAATGGGGACACTGATCTGTATAAGGTGGGGGACAAAAAGAAAAGTCCCAATTAGTTTAGACTCCTGGACCTTCTCTCTGACAAGAAATAGTAAAGGCATACTATAGGGCTAAAAATATCAATCTCCAATGAAGAAAGGAAAAACACAGAATCACAGATTTCTCTGCTGTGCACAAGGGAAAAAATTTAATGTCTTACTGATAGAAATAGAATGCTCAATGTTCTGTTTATGGGAGATTTTTTAAAATTCATATTTCTTTAAAATTATGGTCATTTTTGCAATGAGTATATTCAATGTTTAGAGGGCTTATTTATACAGGCATGTGTAATGTGAGAAGAAAACATGTGAAAAAACTCTGTGACAATGAATATTTATAGACTAGCCTATCTTTCCACTCCTGTGATTTGGTAAGGATACATATGTGAGCCCAACCATGAGAAATCACAGCTGCTTCATTTGTGGCTGTTCTCTGTCACCTCCCAAATCTCCATCAAACTTTCTGATACTCATTACAGACCTACCTTTTAATGAAGTACTAGTTAACACAACTGTCCCTGTTCTTGAATTGGAAATATGGATGCTCTTTCTTGCATTTGAAACTTGAGGTTTTCTCACATGACTGGTGAAATTATAAATAAGGACTTTAATGTGAGATGGATACATGGGAAGAAAGTGATGGGAAGATAGATACAGAACGACAATATTAAAATAACTGAAAGGGGAATCTGTGGTGATATATGTAACAGGCCTTTTATTTTGGGCCATCATCCAGCTCCCAAATCATGACACAGAGAATTATTAGTTATGAATACTCGACCTAGCTTAGGCTCTTTTCTGGCTAGCCTTTTTAACTTAAATTAACCTGTTTCTCTTTGTCTACCTTTTGCCTGGGGACTTTTTAATTTCTTTCCCTCTGTATATCTTACTTTCATGGCTCCTCATGTCTGACTGACTGGTGGCTTCTTGCCTCACTCTGTCCCTCTCATTCATCTTGCTCTCTCATCTGTCCTCTTTTCTAGTTCCTCTCCTGAGCCTAGACTTCTCCTCTTATTTATTCCTCCTGCCTGCCAGCCTTGCCTATCCTTTCTCTGAGTAGTTATTGGTCATTCAGTTTGTTATTAGACCAATCAGGTGCCTTAGGCAGGTAAGGTGAAATAGATGTAACACATCTTTACATAATTAAATACACACCCTTACATTGATAAACAAATGCAGCATAAAGAAATGTAACACACCATTACTCAGTTAAAGTAATAGTCTTCAGCATAAACAAATGTAACACATATCTACCCAGTTAAAATAATTCTAAAACAGATAGAAGTTAGAATGGTGATACCCTAAGTATAAGGAAGAAGGGAATGATTAGGGTTGGAGAATTATGAGTGTAGCTTGTATGGAATCACTAACATTTTACTCTGTAACATGGCTGGTGGTTACATTGTTTACTAGTCAGGGTTCTCTAGAGTATCAATTTGCACTATGATTATTTCTCTCTCCACATGTGTGTATGTAGATACATATTCCATATATATCTACATATATATGCAAATGTATAGAATGAATCTCTCTACATACATGCACACACATATATGTGTGTAGGTATATATGTATAGGATTTATTAGAATGATTTACAGGCTGTGGTATAGTTAATCCAACAATGGCTGATTATGGATGGAAGGTCCAAGAATCCATTAGTGATTCAGCCCAGAAGGCTGGATGTCTCAGCTGGTGTTCAGTATTTGCTGGAATCCCATAGAAGCATATTGGAATTAAAGGTGTATCTTCTTACTCAAACATCTGGATTAGAAGCTAATCAAAATCCCTCACAGGTATGACCCTCCATTTGGGGTTTTAGTAAATTCCAGTCGACAACCAAGAGTAGCCATCATACATATTTTGTGATAGTTCATTTGTATTTGTATTTTCTGTAAACATGGTGTGTGTATATATACATATATACATACATGCATGCAGAAAGGTTTGTTTTGAAGATGTGCATGGAAGAAACTTGGCTTTTATTTGAGCAGTCAGTTCTCTACACTTGTGACATCCATAGCTCATCTGCCAAATGAGGCTGATTTTACTGCTAATGAAACCTGAGCTGGAGAGGTGTCCTCCTTGACTTCTGCAGGGAAAGGATGATTTGATATGAAGTTAACATGTGTATTTTTAAATCCTAACAATGAAAAGATCAGCATGGTTTAGTGCATGCCTAAATTGAATGGCATGCAATGACTTGGTAAAGTCATGGTCGTCGAATCTGCATAAAATGAAAAAATATTGACAGCCAATACATAATTTGACTGCGGCTAGAATAGTGTCATGGCATCCTTGAACTAAGTGGATAAAGAATGGGTATGCTAACAGGAAAATAATTGGGTCCTGGTGGCATTGAGCAATGTGCCAGGCACTCTGTTCCTAAAATAATTTCCATGTCTCCAGGGTAACGCCTAGTAATCAGTGATGGGTTTTCCATAGCACATTTAGCACAGCACAAGTATAAACAGATTGCTCTGGCTTACAGATGAGACACTTATAAAGCTAAATTGTACCTAGTTATTCATCTATGAAATTAGAAGTTATTAGATCAGAGGGATGACTTAAGGTACATCTTCAAAGTCACGATACTCAGTGTAGAATGCAAGGTGTACCACCATCTCATCTGGTTCTTGCATATGTTGTCTTCCTGTCTTAGACTTTTCTGTTCTTTCCTAATACACTTTGTAGCAGAGTAATTTGCTACACATCGTATAGCTGCCCGTCAAAACTACTAGACTTGGCAGATACATGCTTCCCGCTCTCTGTACTGCAGTGTTTCTTTAATCATCTCACTGGGAAGTTCCCTCTTTCCTCCTACAACTGCTTGTTTCCTCTCAGACATGCTATGCTTTGCTCCACTATCACTGCAAACCACTCCCTGTTTCCATGGCTGAACTCACGATTATATTTCCTTTATGTCTGGAATCCCTTGAACCTGGAGATAGTGTTTAACACACCTCTATGGACACAGCACCTATTCTAATGCATTTCCCCTACAAAATGCTCAGGAAATAGTGACAGAAAGAATGCATAAAACTTTAATTCTCTTTAGGCAAATTCCCAAAGGAAACATCCACATGTTCAGCAAGCAAACAAAAATTTCCCAGTCCCATTGTTATTGAGATGAATGAAAGTTTGTATAATATGCATTGTTTCATTGCTTAGATATAAATGCTTTTAAAATTGTAATATTCAGTCTGGTGTACTGTATTTGAGCCATCTTTGTAGGGAAAAGGGGCCAGTCAAAGAAACACACCCTGAGCAGAGCCAAAGAAACACACTTTGGCCCTGCAACCAGAACTAAAGAAATGTACCCTGACCCTGAAACCAGTGCCAAAGAAAAACACTTTGACCCTGGAATCTGAGTCAGTGAAAGAAATGCACCCTAGCCCTAAAATTGGAGCCAAAAGACTAAAAAGGACCAGTGAAAGAAACACACTTTGGCTCTGAAACCAGAGCCAAATCTGACCCTAATCCTGTGCAGAAAACTAACCAATCCCTGAGCAGAGCTCTAGCCAATCTGAGCTCAGCACTAAAATCTGACCAATCCCCACCCTGGAAGCCTTATATAAACCCTGTGTCTGTTCAGCTTATGGCTGTTCACGCTTTTGAGCTACCAGGCTGTCAGCCACTCTCCTGGATTCTTCTCTCCCAATAAACCCCTTCAATGAGCTTTGGGTGAAGAACTTTTGTGGCTGGGATGGAGCATTGGTGACCCAGGGCAGAGCAGAGCAGAGAGAGCAGAGCTCTAACACTTGCCCAGGAAACCTTCCCTTGGCAGAGAGGAGTTGTTACACTCCGCTCCCGAAGCAGAGCTGAACTGTAGCAACTTCGCCCAAGAAACCTCCTGCCCAGCAAAACTGCTACACTGGGTGGACACATGCAGCTGAAAGACCCTGTCCTGCTGGAGCAGAGCGAATACACTGGGGAAGCCTTACCCTGAGCCTGGGCTGTAAGCTGCTAAGCTTACTGCAATCTGTGATGGTCCTTGGCTCCCGAGCTCCAGGAAACCTTTCCACCTGAGCTGTGTAACACACAGTATTCTGTGACTCCCGTGTGCCAGAATACCTGACCCATCCCCATCCACATCCCGATCCAGCCCAAAATGCTTACAATCTTACCATATACTCTCAAAAGTAAAATTTGACCTAGAAACATATGACTGTTTCTTCTCAAAAAATAGCCACAAAATATGACTGTGTATGAATGACCAAATTATGTTTAGTGTTATTTATAAAATAAAATTTAATTTTCAGCACTGGATCCCACAACAATGGAATATTTATATAATTGTGTGATGCTGCTCTAAAATGGAACAATGTACTTTATGGAAGGTGTAACAAAATAGGAAATGCCTTATAAAAACAAATCTACTTAACAAGTAAGGTAACAAAATGCACACCAAATTTAATATGAATTTAAATATTTTTGGAAAGATCATTATTGAGAAATCACTCATTTCATAGTAATATCCTGCTACTTTGACAACATGTTTATCAGGCTCAATAGTAATCTGATGAGGTCTTTAGGGTTGTTTTAGTACAAGATGATGTTATCTACAAATAGTCATAATTTGACATTTTCCTGTACTATCTGCATAATTTTAATTTCTTCCTCTTGTTTTATTTTTAGTTCTATATTGCTAGAAGAAAGTGGGAACTTTTGTCTCCTAGATTGTAGAAGGAATACCCTTCATTTTTCCAATTTAACATAATGTTACATGTGGTTTTTTTCTATGAGATCTTTATATTAAGATATATTTCTTTTACTTTTAGCTTTGTCAGGGATTTTACTTAAAAGGTTGTTGAGCTTTACTGAAGGCCTTTTCTACATTGATTCAGGTGATCATGTCAGTTTTGTTTCAAGACTGTTTGTGTGATGAATTGTACTTAATAATTTGCCTATATTGAACCAAACTTGTATACCTGGAGTGAATCCAAACTGGTCACATCATGTGATCTTCTCAATATATCCTTGAAGATAATCTGACAGAATTTGAGGACTTCTGTGTCTGTGTTCACTGATGGAGTCAGATTGTATTTTTCTATACTTCTCTCCCTTTGTATTTAGTTTGGGGATTAAAACAGTATTGATTCTTGAGAATGAGTTTGGGATCAGTTTTCTGTTTAATAAAGCTGCTTGCAGAACACCGGTGTTAGCTCTTCTTTCCAGGGCTGATACTATTCAGTGGTCCATCCAGCCCTGGGCTTTTCTGTTTCATAGAATTCATTACCATTGGCTCAATCTCATTATTTTTATGGATCTTTTAAAGTTGTTGGTAGCCTCTTGATTTAATTTTGGCAGGTCATATGTATCTAGGAATTTACATATTTCTTCTAGACTTTCCCAGTTACTTTTGTAGTATCAGTTTTCAAAGTAGTCTGTAATAAATCTCTGGGTTCCATTGGAATCTGTAGTAACCTCCCATTTTACATTTGTAATTTTATTGATGTGGGTCTTCCCACTTTGTTTTGATTAATTGGCTAAGGGTTTGGTACTCTTCATTGTTTTTAAAGAACCAACTCTTTGATTGATTCCATGAGTTATTCTTTTAGTTTCCATTTCAAAAATGCATGCCTCTATATTATTTCTACTGTTCGGAGTTTGGGTTTTTCTTGATTTTATAGGAGTTTAATCTGTGTCATTTGGGTTATTTATTTGGGTACTTTCTGATTTGATTTCTATTTCCATATCTATGTTTATGGGTGTTTAGCCTGAATGTGAGCCTGTGTACATGTGTGTGTTTGGCGTCTAAAGAGTCTCCAGAAGAGGGCAATAGCTGGTAGCCTTTCCAAAATCACTGTAGTAAGTAGTAAAGTCAGATTTTTATTTTAGTCTTTCTTGCTACATTTTTTCATGTTTTTTTTATTTCAATTAAATATCCCTCAAAGCAAAATTCAAGTTCTGTATAGTCTGCTTTAATTAAGGAATAAAAATATTTACTGTGAGTCATATGATTCATTGCTTCTTTAAGTATTTTTTTGCTCCCTAAATCATAATTTACACAAACAACAAGCAAACCCCTTGAAAGCAGCAATGATGTTAAAAGCATTTTGAGTCTCATCCTGGGACCAGCTCTTGGTCAAAGCCAAGAGCAGAAGCTCAGTATGAGATGCCGAGTTGAATTAATTAGATCCTTCAGCAGGAACTCAAATCATTTTAGCACCAAGCTACCTCAAATTTCCAATCATCTCAAACTAACAAAATAAAAGGGTATTGCCTTTTCTTGTGTCCACACCTGTGAGTCCTTTTCCTAACCTTGGGATCAGATTTCTTTGCCAAGAAACTTGTCTCTCTTAAGACTTTTGTGCAACCATTAGAAATACCTTTGTCCTAGGTCTGTGAAAACTTGCAACATATTGATTTAAACCTAAGAATTAAGGGCTGCTGCATTTTCTCTCTTCTAGGAGCACTTGTTCATTTTGTCTATGGACATTGCTATGAATACTGCCTTGTTGAAGAGCCCTGGAGGTGATGGAGAGTTTACAGAAACACTTCAGGTACATGTAAGTTTTTTAATATTGTCCCTTTAAGTCTGTTTGGGGATTTCTACTGCTGCTGCTGAAGGTCACCAAAACGAAATCTTTGCCAAATACAGGATCTGGTAGCCATATTCTCTTCTGAAGAATCTATTTCCCCATCTCTCCAAGAAAATGATGATTCAAAGAGTATGTGTAAAAGAGAAAAATAAGGAACAACATATTGTTCAGTTCACACAATGAACCTAGTACATTTAGAAAACCACATTCCTGCTGTACTGATTTCCTTTCTGTTGCTGTATAAAAACCCTCCAAAAGCAATTTAGGGTGGAAAGAGTTTATTTCATCTTGCAACTCTCAGGACACAATCTATCACCAAGGGAAGTCCATGCAGGAACTGAAGGCAGAAACGTAGAGGCAGGAGCTAAAGCAGAGACCATGAAGGAACAATGCTTACTGTATTGCTCAGCTGTCTTTCTTATATAGCTCAGGCCTACTTGCTCAAAGATACTGCCCAATGTACAAAAAGTCATCCCATATCAAACATCTGCTCATCAAGAAAATGTCTTCTAGACATGCCACATGACAGTCAAATGGAGACCATTCCTCAGTTAAGGGTCCTGCTTCCTCAGTGTCCATTGGGGCCAACTTATAGGACCAGTCACCACAATATTACTCAGACCTCTTTTTTAGGAAGTTGTAGATGAAGAGCTGTGAAAACCATTACCTACAACAATCTGTATAAGATTGTAATCATGCCTGGATCCCAACCTTCTCAAAAAATACAGATTGAAACATTAGTCTGTTAGAGTCCTGTGCCTATGTCTTTATTGACCTGTGAAAGCACAGAGACCACAGCATGGTAAGAGTCAATTTATAAGGATGAACTGGTGAGTAGTAACACGAAGACATGGCAAGAAACTGGGTATGGTACTCGAAGTTAAGTACTCCAAATTTGAGGAAATCCCAGGCTACATAGCATTACACTGTCTCAAAAACAAGAACCTAAGATTTAAAAGGAGAGATGAGAAATTTCTGTATCTAGTTTGTCTCTGTCACTTGATGGATTTTTTTAAACAAAAATGAAAACCTAATTTTATACATTTGGAAACGTATTGACACAGCTATCTTCAAGACATGTTTGCATGTAAGTTGGTTCCTGGCATGGGCTGGATCTTGGCAGAGAACCTCATGGAGTCTGAACAGGATGTTGCACAACCACAGATCTCCATGTTTTATCAGGATTCATTTCCCTTTAGGCTAGGGTCCTTCAGTCTTTCATCTTGTGAGCTCCTGAACCCCAATATTTCCCTGCTAATAAGAAGGAAGCCGACTGAGCATTTGCAACTGACACACATAGTCTGAAACTGTTTCCTGAAGCTTCCACATGTTAGAATGTGAGGAGGCTCCTTTCCTGGAAGCTTATGGGTTATTATAATCAACTTGCTGAATCAGCCTGACTCAGGAGGGTTTCCATGGAAACCAGCTTTCTTTTCCTTCTAATCCAGGAAGCAGCTGAACAATGTATCCCTGAAGTCCTACAACTCTTTCCACACTCATGTGATTTAGAACCTTCTTTGTTGCTATTATCTTGGAATTTAAAGGACTTCACAAAGATCTCAAAATGCTTATAATGAGCACAAAATGCTGATAAAAGTTCTTTCCCACAGCCTGGTTCTGCTGCCACTTCTGCCCCAAATAAGCACACAGATGCTATATTAATTATAAATCTTTTGGCTGGTGACTAGGGCTTCTTATTGGCTAGCTCTGTCTTAATTATTAACCCATTTCTATTAATCTAAGTATTTCCATGTGGGCTTACTTATATGAGAAGGATTCAGACCTCTTACTCCTTGGGCAGCTCACATGGCGACTCCTCTGGCTGGCCCTCTCTGCCTACCTTTCCCAGAATTCTCCTTGTCCTAGTCCTGCCTATCTCCCTGCCTCATTGGCCACAGTGTTTTATTCATCAACCAATAAGGAAACATATATACAGAAGGACATCCCCCATCAACAAAATGCTTTCATGAGTTCATTTATTAAACACTGTACTTGCTTGCCTTTCTGTTTTCTAGGTTTGGGGTTACAGAAGTAAGTCAGAACATAAACCGTATCCTTATGAGGCCTATCCACACCACAGCAAACTTGACAAGTAATTATACACAAAGGCTTTTAGTGGTGAATGCTAAGCAGGCAGCATTTTAGCTAGGTTGATGAGGAAAAAGAAAGCCCACTAAAAAGGCTGGCCCAAGTCTGTCTGTGTGCCTTGGTTTCAATTTCCCCTGACCACACCTATCAGAACTCCTTGCTGCCCTCACCATGTCACATGCCACCATTGACCTGATAGATGGCTGAGCCACAGGTTCTAACCCCCCTCCTAGGGATTCTTGAGTGTGCTCCATGCTCTTAGATAAATCGGCCTTTCCACTTGTACATGCCTTGCTCATTCTGGAACATTCCTTTGGTCTCTTCCCTTTTTCTTGCCTATCATTAATTTTCGCTTGTTCATGAACATGTAGATGTTATTCACCTGAAGAGCAGATCCTGACTTCAGGGTACACTCTGCCTCTAGCAAGTCCCATTTTGTGCCACTTTGCAGGGGACAGCCTTGTCCACCTGTCATCCTCATCAATCATACCACCAATCTCTCTAAAGCCTGTTCAGATTTGAATTATCTTTTATATTCTACTGAAATTGAGATGTCATCATGCACTTTCCTTTCACTGATAAAATGATGAGCTGCTTGGTCCTCACCTTTCTTCCTCTTCACCAGAGAGCCTATGGGTCTGCCTCCTTCCTTGCTTGGCTTCCAGGATCACATTGACAGGGTTGCCTCACACGGCTCTGGATGCTCCTTTTCAGCCTCAGCGCTTGTGTGTGTGCATGGTCATGTATGCAGGTGTACGTGTATGAACACATGCCAGTGGAGACCGCAGGGCAACCACAAGTGTCATTCCTCCAGTGCTATGATCTTTTCTTCTTTTTTTTTAGACAGTATCTCCAGCCAGCCTGGATCTTATCAAACAAGCTAGGCTAGTTGCCCAGCAAGGCCCAGTGATCCAGTTCTCTGACTCCCTAGTATTGAGATTACAAGCACGCACCAGCACCTCCTCCCCTCCTTTGGCACTTGGCTTCTGGAGCTCTAATGCTGGCAAACAGATCACTGACTGAGTTTCTTCCCACTGCCACTCTCGTTTTGCATTTTCTTCTTATCCCATAAGCACTGGAAGGTTCTACATTTCAGTCTTTGAAGCTCTCCCTTTTTCCCATTTTTATTCATGTTCTTGTGAGTTCCACACAGCAATCGCAGCCTCTCAGCCCATCTCCAAACAGTCCAGTCAAGGTTTTCCACTCCTCAGCATGGGGGCACACAAGGACTGAAGAGAGCGGAAGAAGGCAGTGCTGTGAAAAGGGATCTCCCTGGATCACCAAGTGTCTCGCTTTCTGTTCCACAGATGTGGCAGAGCATCTCATTACACATTTTCAAAAAGAAGGTTAGAGTAGAAGACAAGAACACAAAAAATCAGCTAAGTAGCGAGTATGTCTGTGATTGGTGTGAGAAACAGTGGTGGTCTGAATCAAGGCTGTGATGAGCAGGAAGCAAAGATGAATGTGACATTTCCAAGTGTCAGATTAGGTGGGAAGGGTGCTTAAATGGATGAATGAAGAAAGAAAGTCAGACATCAGGGTCTGGTGCTGACATCATTGTGACAGAGAATGCATGGAAGGAATATAACTTTGAAGAGAAGGAAAATCATAGGTTTAACTCAATCACATTGTAAGCTCCTTGCTACTGGACAGCAAAATGAAGATGAAATGAGCATTTATGCAGCCTGAATGTACATGACCTTTAAGATGTAGAAAAGAGCATAGGTTGATAAGAACACTGATATACACTCCAATGAATGAAAGCCCCAACTTTGCATGGAGCAAACTATAAATCACCTCCACCTATAGAAAAACATTCCTTAAACAAAAAAACATTGTGTTCTCACATCATCTTCATGCATTTGATGAAAGGGGGAATGGGCTGGTCTTCATTCTGCCGTGAAATGAAGAAGAGCCAACCACAGTCATTACCTTTGAAAAACGAACTTAACGATTTCATGTGTCATCTACACCTTCCCCCAAACCTGGAAGCTCCTTATGAATCCTCCCACTCTAACCCATTGCTCATAACTAACTTCCACAGGAAACTGTGGTTAGAGACTGAGTGAGTAACCAGCGACAGCACCACTGTGTCTTTTCAGCAACAGCAGATCTGGAGGCTGCAGGGCCAGTGAAGCCACAGGGAAGCTGGGCTCAAAGTGATTTTGCATCATGAATCATTACCAAAATTGAAAGCGAATTCTGATTGCAAAATCTTTATCGCTGTGATGTGACAATAATCCAAAGGAACACAGCTGGATCTTTGGATGACAGATGGAACATGCAATTTCCAGCTGAAGACAACTCAATTTTGCAGCTACAAATTGCGCAAATTTGATGTGGGTCCTAAGAGGCTATGTGAGGAACACTATGGAGTTTGTATTGCAAGGATGTTTTGATTAGAACTTAGCCACACGCAGAGAGCCCCTATAGGGAGTCCTCACCACATGGAAAAGTTCCAAGACTTGATCAGATTAAATTCCCTGAAAATGTATCTATTGGTTTCATGGAAAATAATGGTTGAATGCTTTCAAAATGATCCTTTATCTTCCTCAAATTCTCACTTCAACTCAAACTTTCCTCTTCTTGACCTCTTTCCCTAGGCTGCTGTGTCCTCTCCCTCTCCTGAGCCTGTGAGCTCCCACTGAGACTCTCCATCTACAAGACCTGTCTGGATATCCATAACTTAAAGTTATTTATGAGCTCCTATAGCAAATAAGGAGAATTCTGGAAATGTTTTGTAAATGTTAAAGTGCTCAGTGACTGTTGGAAATACCATGGCAGCACTTCATTTTGCTTATGAGCCCTAGAACTCTAGGACCTTCAGCAGGTACCCTTGGCTTCCTTGGATCGCTCGGAGGAATTACTGAGGAGGAAAGCTTGAGTTTGTGAGAGCAGGAAGCTGCTGATTGGAGGCGGTGAAAGCAGGCATGGACGGAAATAGACTGACGACAGCCCTTCCAGCTCTTCTGCACCCATACAGAGATACAGGCAGCACTGGCAAGAGTGTGTGACAAGGGACCCACTGGACAGTGGCAAACAGATAATTATCACCAAGAAATTTTTCCAAAGCAGTGCCATGCTTCAGTGTGCCTTAAAAAAACTGTCCATGTAAAACAGGATCTCTTGGGGTTCAGTCCCTGCATAGTCACTCATTGTTGGTATACTAGCATCAATTTTTCTTGCCTACAAAATGAAAATATTGGTCTCTGCTACACAACTTCATGTTTTGTAAATTATGTACGTGGATTTAAAGAATAAACTTGGGTGTTCAGTATTCACTGGATTGGCCTCCAAACTCTATTCTGTGTCTCTGTCTTTTTCTTAGCATCCTTACCTGCCATTTCTCAATCCACACTCCCCCACACTCACATTAATGAACTAGGAAGTCGACTGGATAAGACTGAAGCTCCACAAAGGCGGTTAATACAGACCAGCACTGCACTATGGGTCTCACAAAGATACGATACTACAGATTGGTGTCACAATGTGGTACTATTACTGATGACTACCACATATACTTAGGAAATTCTCTCTAAATATATGTATACATATATATGTACATGTAATGTATATACATATATATTTAAAATTACATACCTAAAACTCTTATCTGGCATATAAAACTCAAAACTCATAGATAACTTTAATGTCAATAGATATTAAGCCTTGTGGAGAAAAACCTCACAGATCTATCATAAGTCTGTTTTTATGCATCTCTGACTTAACAATGGCACTGCAAACTGTAGCTAGTACATGCTCATATTCTTCACTCAAAAGTTTTTTTCCTAAGCAGAAGCTAGACATCTGGCCCCTCTATGATTGTCCTACATCCACAAAATATTCTGTTACATGACAAGACTTTTCCAGGGGGGACATAACATTCACATCTACTCACCCCAGATAGAGATTCTACAACAGATCAAAGTATGGTTACCCCCAGGTCTGACTTGCTGAACCAATGAGTTTTATTAGATTAGTAAATAAACACAGACTCATATGACTGTTAGCGGGGATTAGACATGAGAAATTCTTTCCCAAGGTCCCTTAAATTTGCACATGAAAATACATTAATTGAATAACCATACAACTTCTGTAACCCCCCCTTTTTTTGGTTTTTCAAGACAGGGTTTCTCCCCAGGTCCTCAGAAAGAGCAGCCATTGCTAAACCCTTTGGTCACCTCCCTAGCCCCTGACTTGATGCTCTGATTTAATGAAATGATGAATCAATTTTTTGTTTTTGTTTTTCAAAGGTTTACTTGTTATGTATGGAGTTCTGCCTGCATGTATGCCTGCATGCCACAAGCCAGAAGAGGGCACAAGATATCATTTCAGATGGTTGTGAGCCACCACATGGTTTCTGGGAGTGGAGCCCTGGACCTCTGGAAGAACAGTCAGTGTTCTTCACTGCTGAACCATCTCTCCAGTGAAAAAAAGATAGGTTTTCTCTGTCTCTTTGGAGGCTGTCCTGGAACTAGTTCTTGTAGACCAGGCTGGTCTCGAACTTACAGAAATCCACCTGCCTCTGCCTCCCGAGTACTGTGATTAAAGGCATGTGTCACCACTGCCTGACTACTTCTGTACTCTTAAAACTTAAAATTCATTTGGAAGATCAAGAAAATTATGGAAATGGAGAAAACAATAGAGTGGGTTTATATGCCGTGTAGCAGCAGGAGAGAAAATGTTTTAAGATAGTGGGTGACTAACTGCTCACAAAATTTACTAAGAGGCTTGGAAACTGCAACTCTTTCCCAGACTTGACCCTGTAACTCCACCTCTCTTGCCTTGCCTCTTTTAAATTCTGTGTAATATTCTGGTAGAGAGTACCACAGATTGTCCTGTTGGACAATGTAAGGCCAGCCAGGCTCGTGTCAGTGATTCTTAGTAGTAATACAATCTGCCCCTTGCCTAGCATCTTTTCTCTCCAGGCCATTCCCATGCATGTGTCACTGGATCTCTGATTGTTGTTTCCTCGTTACTTCCAGGCAAGGCCTGAATAGGAAGAAAGCCTGAATTCTTAAACTCTAAGGAGATGGATCTGTCTACATTAGTATGTGTGTGACACATGTCTCAAGTAAGTAAACCTTGATTGTCAGTTTAAGTGAATTAAGAAAACATAAGATATCAGAGGAGTACACATTTGGATTTATGTGTAATTATGCCATGAGAGATCTGAAGTCATAAATTGACTAATTGAGTTCTTTAACAAATGGTGCTGGGAAACCATACAGAAGAATGAAATTACACCTGTATCTATCAAAAAACTAACTTCAAAGACCTAAATGTGAAATGTGACTCATAGAACTGCTAGAAGAAAACATACCCAGTACTAAACAAGATATAGGTGTAGGAGAAGTCATTCTGAATAGGATTCCCTTTGTCCAGGAATTGAGGCTAGCAATTGACAAACAACTGACCTCATGAAACTAAAAAGCTTCTATATGACTAAAGAAACAATTGATCAATTATTGGGAAAGAACGCATGCTAGCTATAGATATGACATAGAATTAATACTCAGCATATGAACTTAAAAAATCCTAAAGAGTCAAAACAAAAACAAATACCCATTCAAAAATAGGCCTAGAACCTGAACAGAGAGTTCCCAAAAGAAGAAAAAGAAATGGCTAAGAAATGTCTGAAAAAATGTTCATCACACTAGAAATTAGGAAAATGCAAATCAAAACAACCTTGATATTTCATTTTACTCCAGTAAGAATGGCCAAGACCAACAAAGCAACTGACAACAAACCTTGGAGGGAATACAGGGGAGAAAGGTAATCCTCATTCACTTTTAGTAGGATTGCAAACTGATACAGCTCTCTGGAAATCAGTGTAGAAAATCCTCAAAGACTTGAAGAGGAATCCACCATACAACATTGCTCTACCATTCTTGAATGTATGCCCAACATAATCAACATACCACTTCCCAGATACTTGCTCAGTTGTTCATTGCTGCGCTATTCACAATAGCAAGGAAATAAGAACAATGTAAGTGTCCTTCAGTGACAAATGGATAATGAAAATGCGGCACATATAAACAATAAAATACTATTCAGTTGTAAGGAAATACTGAAATTTACAAATGAGTGGAACTAGAAAGATCAAATTGAGTGAGGTAATGTAGAACAAAAAATAACAAATGTCACCTGTTCTCTATCATCGAAGGCTCCAGCTCCAAATCTTTTGACATAGGTGCTTATCCTGGAGTAACTGCAGAATCCCTTGAAGTAAAAAGGGATCACTGCAAGGAATTAGGGAGCAAGAGGGATGGAAATACAAGGGTGAAGGTGATCTGGAGGAGAAAATGGGAAAGCAGAGGGGACTTTAACTATGGAGGGGTAAATAAATACACAAAGAGGATGAAGGACGGTAAAACAACAGTGAGGATGTCTAAAAAAATTCATAAGGCATAATGTTATCTATCTACCTACCTACCTGCCTACCTACCTACATAAATTACATACAAAGCATCTAAGTCTGTGTATACATATATTTACATGGTTTAACTGGAATTGTCCCATCTGTACTAACAATGGTCCTGTTCAAGACTACTTAATGCAAACCCCAGCATCAGGAATTTGTCATTTGTTGGTCAGGACTGTCCAAGACAATTCCAAAACAGCAAGCCTTTATTGCTGTAGATATATGCACTTGAAATGCAGGCCTGAAGGCCCCTATGCTGGAACTGATTAAAGGCATCCTTCCTGAGAACTAGTTTTCATTGGTATCAGAAAGTTCCATGGAAACCAAAGATAGGAACAAACAATAGTCCTGCCTAGCTGTGACACCTTTGGACCAGAATGACCAGTTTAAAGGTACAATAGTGGCAATACATCTTGGCAGTAACCAACAGCACTCTAATTGGACTTAAGTTCTGTCCAACAAGAGGGAACCTATACCCATTACTGGCAACCTATGCTACTGCCTGGGGCCACTGAGATCATTGATCTTGGAGGAAAACCTTCAGCTGCCATATTACTAAACTAACACAATTCTAGCTAAATTCCAAATATTTATTGTTATTCTCACAGATAAATGTTGTTCTTACCCTTCATCAAGCATTTTTTTTCTTCACAACAGATAAAGACCATTACAGAAAACTACAACCAGTAAAACCGCAGAGTAAGAGATTGTGTGGTACCCAGTCCCAACTAATACATCTACAACACAGCTCCTGAACATAAGGCTCTGGAATCATTGTGGAAGACGAGGCAGAAAGAATTCAAGAGCCAGATGAACTTGAAGTTTCCTGTTAGACTGTGTCCCCTAGGAATGTCAGAAATGCCAAACATATGACGTCTCATCAATAAGGCTGACTAAACACAACCAGAACAATGAGAGCATCATGGAAGGGGAATTAGCCCTCACAGAGTCTCTGAGTTTTTTGTCAGCTGATAGCCACAGGTGCATCCTGTTTTCTAGTCCTGGCTTACTACCCCCGCATTTCCCCACTGACATCAACATCTAGCATGAGGTAAACACACTCTCTTCCACCTGGGGTCTTTCCACTGTGCTGTAAGCCTGTATATAAGGCTGCTCCCTCTCTACAATAGAGAGACCTCTTAGCACTTGCAATAAAGACTCTCTCTCTCTCTCTCTCTCTCTCTCTCTCTCTCTCTCTCCTGGCAATAAAGGCAGCACATGCATTATCTTAGTACAAACAGTTGGACATCTGGTCTTTCTTTTCCTGATACCTTGGACTTGCTTGTGGCGCGGGCACCGCAATTGGAGGTTCCACTGAGATCCAGAGAGACTTGGAAAGACTGGGAAAGATCGGCCAGAAAGAAAACTCAGGAGAGGAGAGACTCGAGAAAGAAGACTTAAAAGCAGGTACCTCAACTTCTAACAGTAAAATTGCATGGTCAAATCTCCAGGCTTTTGCTTGAGAGATTACCTTCTAAGGAGAAGGTGTATTGAATTAATCTCCAGCCTTTCGCCCTGATCCATTGAGGTCAGGAAAGTAAAGGGAAACTGAGAGATCGCCCTCAAAGGCTTGCCAGCAAGTAAAGTTATGAGGGTGTGTTGAAAAGGGGTACCAAGTTAGGGGTACCAGATTAAATCTCCAGGCCTTCACCTGACAACAAGGTCAGGAAAGAAAGGGGAACCTGAGACATAGACCTCAGTTGGAGGATGGATTGAAAATGAGTGAATTGAAAATTGGCAACAGTAAGTAAATGAGGTACTGTATTAAGTGAAGGAAAAGGAAAAGATAAAGGTATATGGAATAGAAAATACACAAAGAGTGTGGATACTGTGTGCTGTT